GAATTCTGACTTTTTTCTCAGAATTCTGACTTTTTTCTCAGAATTCTGACTTTTTTCCCATACTAAACCAAAATAAAATCTAAAAATCAGTTTACTTTTTTTTTTTTCCACTGGCCCTAATCCTCTTCTGTATATTTGCAATTGAAATAAACGATATAATGATATTTCAACATCACTTCAACATAAATAAATATTTTGTATCTTTATAATGAGAAAATAGCAAACAAAAATTAAATGGTTTATGTGCTAATTAACACCAAAAAACAATAAATAGATAATTTTATTTTTATATTTTATATAGTCTTTATATTAGTAATATTCAAAGATTAAAGTGAACATTTTTTGAATTCATTGAGTTAAAATATCTGATAATGTTAAAGAAAAAAATGATAGCAAATTTTTTTGTCACTGAAACTTTTTTAATGTTTTTATATTATTATAGCTTAGACCAGATACATTTTTTTTTGTCCCCCTGGAGAACCTAATCTTCATTTTTCTTTTCTTCCAGGTGCTGCTTAGAAATAGGAAGTAATAATGGGAACTCCTTCCACTGACAGGAAGGCGCAGCTGGATTATGGCGTTCAGATCCGCTTCATCAAAGACCTCCACGACACAGGTGGAGTTCAACCTGAGAGAATCAGAGCAAACAGTGCGACGCCTCCATCCAGCAAGTACGGGGTGGCTGTAAGGGTTCAGGGTATCTCTGGGCAGCCGTATGTGGTTTTAAAGGATGGAGAGAAAGGGGACTCTTACGGAGTTCAGCTGTCTCATCCTAATCCCACTTCAGGGCCAGCGTCTCCATACAACAGCATCCAGAAGCCCGATAAAGAGCCTACAGATTTTCCAAACTCCTTCAGCCCTGTTGTCAGTTCCTCCCGCTCCCCTGTCTCCCCTGCAGAGGATGAGGACGGGGACATTTTTGGGAGTCCTCTTAGGAGACCTCCAGGGGACGGTCAGGCAGGAACTCAAGCAGAGGAGGAAGGTAGAGCTGGCCGAGAACGTCGGGCGGAGAGGCCCAAAGACGAACCGCAACTGAAAGCTCCAGTCAGCAAAACAGAGAAGAAAATGAACGGCACAGATAACGAGGAATATAATGAAGCTGGACTGAAACCTGTTAAATTACAATCTGTGGGACCTAAAGGATTTAACCGAACTCCTTCAGGATTTACCAGTTCTTTGGCGAGAAAGCCCAGCCAAGATTCCTCCCCTAAATCCATCCCAGATCCTTCACCACTAGCGGACAGCGAGCCCGCTCCAGCCATCGACACTAAATCCCTGGCGCCCATCAATAAACTCATCAGCAAGTTCAACAACAGTGCGCCAAGCAGCGCCCCGCAGACAAGAGGCCGTACCGGAGTGAGGCAGCGGCTCCAGTTTGATGAACGCAAGAGGTCAAGAAGTCTGGATGCCCGGAAAGATGCGCAGCCGGCAGCCATCCCCGCTTCTCCTTCATCTCCCCTTCTGAACCCTGATGCCGCTTCCACATCCGGTGCTTCCAGCTCATTCATGTCTTCTGTTCCGGCAACAGCTGCCAAGGCGATGGCTCCCAGCGCCCCCAGGGCAAGCTTCAAATCACCAGAGAAGTTTGTTGCCAAAGAAACGCCTCCTAGCATTGCAAAGAAACCTGTGAGTACCAGAGAACTAAAACTAAACCACAAAAGTGAAGATTATTTGTTTTTATTTTCGTTTTTTCCTTTTGAAGGAGGTCCTTTCAAGAAGTCAGAGTCAAAACACAGAGTTTATTAAAAGAGAAGAGGCTCAAGTCAAACCTTCTATTAACAGCTCCCTCAAAGAAAGGTTGGGAAAAATACAAACCTGATGCATATAACAACTTTTAGTCATTATTTTAAAGAAAACCGTCCTTCTGGTTCCTCAACAGCTCCAATGAGGCTCAAATTTTCTTCCAAAGAAAAGCCAGCCTGCCCACTGAGACGCCTGACAGATTACAGGTAAGGGCCGAGGTCAAGCAAACACTACGTGTCTTTTTATTTACCTACGCAAACTCTGTTAGTGATTAGAACCAAAATAGCAATATACAAACCATGTCATTTGCATGTTTCTAAAACCTAAAGGATTCTGTCTTTATCATCACAAGTAAAGAGTAGGAGCTGATAAGGAGCTCTTAAGGCAGTTTATATGGGCATCCTTTTTACCGAAACCAGTTTTCTAATTTGAATATGATAGGTTTATTTATTTATTTTTTCTCTTTTAATATAAATTTTTTTGTCGTTGACAAGTTTTTATCTCTTAGTTTTTCAGTTGGTTACCGTCATCTTTATATCCTCTAATCTCTCTGATACTTTTTCAAGAGCTACTTCAACCTGTACCATGCATATCCTATTGCAAGGCAGATTAAAATGATGTGGCTCTGATGGTGGCGGGGATAAAACCAAGAACTGAGATCGGCAGCCTAGCTTTTATTAAGCCGTGTGACTAAACTATGTTGGATAACTATGTTGGAGTTTTTTGGTTTGAGGGGAAAAGAATAAACAGCTCGGCCTGCATTAGGGTTTTCTTTCAGGCTAATGAGTTTCTTTTTTTGTTTAATTTTGTTGGCTTTTGGATCAGAATGAAGAATGAGGTCTTGAGAAAAATATTAGTTTTCATGCTCTCTAACTTTTCAACTTATTATAACCACAAACGTTAATATATTTTATTAGAATTTTATGTTAAAGGCAAAAAGAAGAAAGAAGAAAATGCTATTTTTTTTTTCAAATGAAAACTAAAAAGGGCATTATGCAAAAGTATTCAGCACCTTTGGCTGCACTTAAAGCTGCAAATCTTTTGGAGGTATGCCTCCATCATGCCAAGGTAGTTATCCCTGCTAGACTGTGTATCAGATCTTTAGTATAAACTTGAGATGTGTTATCTTTATAAAAGATGAGTGTTATTTTATTGTTTACTTCACATGTTATAGCTGAATATTGACAGTGATATTAATAAAAAAAAAAAAAAACATGAGAGGATTTGCCTCAAAACAGGATGCTTACAACAGTGTTAGCTCCTTTCGTTCTTTTCAACATGTTCCATAAAGAATCCTCTCATTGTCTAAATGTTCTCCTCATTGAAAAATGTTGTCAAACATATATATTAAAAATAAAACAGTAAATGGAGTGTATGTGTACTTATAGGCTATACTCAGTAGGAATATTACTTTATCTTATGTCATATTTGGTGCTTAAATCTATATTTGTGTTTTATATTGACTTACACTTTCTGTATCTTCTACTACCTTAATGGAATTGAGGTGGGGTGAGCTCCATCAGCTCCTACTCGGTGTGATCTCCAGGTGAGGGGACACAAATTCTGGGAACGACACATCTATCAGCTTCACGTATCTAGGGACGGAAATGCTTGCCCGTTCTTCCTTGTAAAACAGCTCAGTCAGATAAGATGGAGAGTGTTTGTAAACAGCAGTCTTTAGGTTTTGCCACAGATTCTCAATTTGGTTTAGGTCCGAGCTTTGACTAGACCGTTCTAGGGCTGAAACAATTAATCGTGATTAATTGATTATTGATATAATCGTCAACTAATTTAGTAATCGATTAATCGTTAACTGGAGTATAGAGACTGTTAAACCTGCCTTTAGCTGACAGAGTGACCCAGTTAGACAAGTCATTATATGCTTTAAGTGAAATAAATATTAAAATTGTTAAAAAAAATATATATATATGTATTGTATAACATTGTAACATTTTGCATTGAAGATAAAAACACAAATAAAATTTTGTCGGTCAATATGCTCTATCCAGAACTCCTCAAATGGAAAAGTTTGACTTTAGCCTGGTTTAATTTCGTAAAAAAGTGTTCTTTAAGGAACCTTTGGCTATCCGGTTATTAATTAATTCACTGAAATAATAATGGACATATTAATAGATTTGCAAAAAAATCATTATTTGCAGCCCTAGACCATTTTAACACATGAATGTGTTAGATTTTACTTTTTAAACATCCCATTGCAAAGAGGATTTGACAGCAGTCAGTGGCAGAAGCCTCAGTTACCTGATCCACTATGCAAGATGTCAATTGAAAAAATGAATGGTTGATTTCTATCTATTTATACCTTAATATGTTGGACTACATTGTTACCCAGCTGTTGTTTGTTGAATGCACTTTCGGTCTTTGCCTGATCATGGTGGTCTCTGTTGTGTTTGGGATGGATGCTTTCTTCTCATTGGAGCAGTTCTAGCAGCTCAGCCAACAGATGCTTGGCAGCCGCTCCTGTATTTAGAGCATATGAAGTTTCTGTTTCATTCTCTTTGTCTCCAAGGCTTCTTCTTATACAGGCCAAAAAATGTGAAATTTAAGGAGCATGCCGACTGCTCCTCTGTTTGCCTTCTTTGCGTTCCCAAGAAGCCTCATTGATATAGATTGTGCCACAGTTATGAGAACACTTTGCTCTTCTCCTTTAAACAGCTCTTAGCATAAATCTACATGAAAAAATGATTCTTTTGTGTCCTTACTTCCAAAAAGCGCATGCTCTTGATTATGCATGATACCTGGTTAGACGGCTGACACTGTTTGTGACTGTGGGTCCTTGTGAATTATTCGCCCGTCCCGTCTCTTGGCAACGTTGCACCTGCAGAGGAAAGCTCTGTGTGATGAGGGCTCAGTGGTTGAGAGCCATCAATAATTGAGTCAGAGTAGAACCCTGCACCAGCTGGGGGGTTGACAATGCAAGATGGGGCAGATCCTCTTTCAGAGGGGTCCTCTGGTACTAAACATCTTTTCTTTTTTTTTATCCCTGGGTTTTCAAAAATAGTTTATATGATAAAAACCTGGATTGAGACTGTTTTTTTCATGCGGCTCACCCCCTATACATGACCACTTCACTTGTTTGTATTAAAACACAACATTTAACAGCTCATGAGTTCGGTACAAAGCTCATCTGATGTTTATCAGGCTGGATTTGAGCAATTGCTTTGACGTTTTATAACCAACCATTTCCATTTCTTCTACTCTAAACTTAACAGAAAAATAAGCAATGAAAGAAGACGAGATTTGCTTAAATAAAATGATGTCTGCTTCTCCTGTGGTGAAGCTGACATCATTCACTGGTGTTACAGGCCAAATAATGTCAAACTGATCTCTCACCCTGTTTGTGTCCCAGTTTCACCTTGAATCAGATACTGGTGTGTTGAGTAATCCGAGTCTGAGTTTGTTGATCCGTCCTTGTCTTGTTTAGAGGGCAAATAAAGGGCCAACCAGTTAAGCTTCGACTACGAAGGTTATTTAAATAAGCTTAAACAATCTAGAAGGGAATTTCTAACTGTCTCCTGGATCTGGATGAAAAAAATCAGTTAAGCAATGTTTAATCAGACAAAAAAATAATAATGAAATCTATAATCATGCATAATTTTTTTGTTTTATATTTAGGATAGTTGTCTTATTTTAAATTTGTATATTTTTTGTTAGAGTTTTTGAAACTGGATAATTTATTAGATGTGATGTTTTGGGGTTTTTTCTACCATCAATTGGCCAGGAACAGCAGATAGAAATGAACCTTGATGACTAAATCAGGTACTTTTAAGATTTTAAATAATGGTCTTCAAGGTATTTAATGTCCTTTTTTTTTTTGAATTTTACACATTAGGATGTAAATAAAAGCATAGCAGAGGTGTGGACTTTGATCGGAAGACTTGTCTCACTAATTGAGTCACAGATACGTGTTTGGACTCGAGTTTTACTTCATCTTCTCAAATAACATATTGATCCATATAATTTGTTACCTCATTCACCTTTTTGGTTACCTGCCTTTAAAACAAATCAACTTCAGAGAATATCGTGTTATAGGGCGATGGTGGCCTGGAACTCACTCCCGCAATTCTTGATTTCAGAGATGTGCAATGTTAGCTTTTCCAAAAGGCTTAGACTTAATATATTTACTTTACAGTGACTGTAACGTTTATGGAATGAAGTAATTCATAATTAGCACTAGTAACTGAAATGTTTTGTAATTTACACAATACCCAGAGATTGGTCATGTTTTGTACGTAGAATAGCTCATAGTATATGATGTGTATCTGTGTGTATGTTATTTATATGTATATGAAGTTGTGTTGTGTGTGGTTTCATTGTTTCTCAGCTTTGATGTAATATCTGTAAAAACGTTAAGACCCCAGGAAGCATAGCCACTGCTTTGACTCATTAGCTAATTGCGATCTAAATAAATAGACAAATAAATAAACCTTTCAGGGTAGCTCAGGCTTGTTAGTCTTAACTGGAGACTTGACTAAAGGGAATTTTCCTAGCTTAATTTTCACCAGATAAAATTTCAATGTAAGGAATTTAAGGTATATAAAAAAAATAAATCATTATTTAAAATTCGACATTAAAAAAAAAATGCAGATTCCATTGAGACAGTTTTTCTTCCATATCCCAAAACATTTTGCCATCATCATTACATTATTGAACATTTCAGTCACCCTAAACTACACTGAACAAACCTCTGTCCTCATTATAAGGACGTTTTCTGTTTTTATGTCTTCACACATATGTAGTTTTCCCTTTAGATAACAAAAACAAAACTACTGTTTCAGAGATAAAAAAAAAAAAAAAAATCAGCTTTAATCTTTATTTCTATTTAACTAGGGCTCTGTTTAGCCTAGCAGAAATCTGTTTCTATAATTTGTGTGATCCACATGAGACTACAGCTGATGCAATTTATACAAACGACTCAGACTTGTTCCCTCTTATGTTATCTTCTGTTAATTATCTCTCTCCTCAGAGAGGAACTAAAATATCCCAGAAGAGGATTATCTACAAACTGTCCTTTAGGGGACGAGAAGAAAGTAAAATAAATTGGTGTGAAATCTATCTATTTATTATTCTACCATGATGAGCACAAAACAGCCATGGAAATCAGAAGAACAGAAACATCTGCAAGCTTCACTTGGCTTATCTTGTCTTCTTCTGTGTGCGCTTCGTTGTAATGACTGTGTAGGTGGATAAAGACAGAGGTTTTACGGGCAGGCTGAGCTTATGGCGCCTTTTCTCTGAGAGCGAGCCTTCCTCATAACAACGGGGCGAGGTGGGCGGTGAACTAAGCTTCTTCCCTGGCTCTGCTGTCAGAGTAGTGGTGCATTTTTCTTTTTTTTTTTGCTTTTATTTTATGATTCTGAGCTCCCTGGCAGGGCTTTCTTTCCCAAAGATGTTTTTTTGACTCAGAAAAACTGGGGCAAGAATAAAAGCAAGGTTTTATTATTATTTTTAAAAGTTAAAAAAAGTTCAAAGCCTACAATGTATTTGCAAGGTCGACACTAGCCCTCTGTTGGAATATGTTTACTCCGCCTCACTGTCCTTGGGCTCCTTTTTCCGTTTCTCACTCTGAACCTCTTTCTTATTTTCTTTTTATAAATATTTTGTGCAGAGGGGAGGATCCGATGGAGGCATCAAAAAGGAGAAACTTGAGGAGCTTCAGAAGCAACTCGAACGTTACAAGAAGGAACTGGAGCAGGCGCAGGATGAGTAAGGGCTCAACTTTTTCTTATGGTTCCAGTGAAGTTGATCCTCTTCTACAGCCCTTATTATTATAAGAATGTTGGTGTCTTAGTCATCTTTTGGGGGGAATTAAAGGATATTTATGCAATGATCAAGGTATTGGAACACATCTTAAATTTAGAAAGGCCACTATTTATGGTTAAATAATCAAACAATACAAATCAACTCTCATACATCACACTCATAATGTATTAGAAGCTCAAACTGAAAAGAAAAAAATTTTGCATGAACAAGAAGAGTGTAATGGAAAGCACGGCAGTGGTAGCATCATGCAACGGGCTAAGATGAGTTTTTTGATGGCAGGTCTAGTCGGACCATTTCAGACCATAAGGAACCATTCTCTTCTCTTTTCAGACGTTTTTTTCTGCAATGCAGTTTTTTTCATGTTTTTATTTTTTTATGTGCAGACTTGCTGCAGAGCAAATGGCCAGAGAGGTGGCAGAAACCCGTCTGCGCCTCCAGGAAGATCAGTTGGCTCAGCTACAGGAGGAGCTGAGGAGGGTTTCAGAGAACCTACCCCAGTCAGACTCATTTCAGTCGGTACGCACAACCAACACTGCAGCTAACTCAAAATAATACTTCTATCCAAACGATATTTATCTGAAGTCTTTCTCTCTGTAGGATGTGATAAACCTGCAGACTCAGCTGGCTGAAGCCACCATGTTATACCAGCGCCAAGAGGAGGTGCTCCACCAACGAGAGCGGGAGCTGACGGCCCTGAAGGGGGCGCTGAAGGAGGAGGTGGAGTGCCACGACAGAGAGATGGAGGCTCTAAGGGAGCAGTTCAGCCAGGACATGTCGAACCTTCGAAAAAACATGGAGGAGTTCACACAGGTGATTGTCAGACAACTTAAGCTAGATTAAAGAGTGGAAAACTGTGACCGGATCAAAGCATTACCGAAACTAGAGCTTTAGTGAGCATCTGTGGTGGTTAACATCTTTCAAAAGTGATCTAAGGAAGGAGCAGTGGTGAAATTGTGAATGGAGATCATTTAGCTTACCATGCTGTTACATGTTTACAGCAGAAGAAAATGAGAATCAGAAAGCAAGCTGGTGGAGAAGCCTGTTAGGATCATGGTGCCGTCTACCTTAGCTTTGCTGCAGATACACCTTTTCATTGATTGTACCATTTTCTTTAGAATATAAAACCCTCCGGCACAAAGAAAAAAATTAATGCAGAACTTTAGGAGTTGCAACACATCATTTACACAACTTCTGCTCTTAACTTCTAGGTGCTATATATCTTCAAGGGTCTGGTGGGATTCAGTTGATGAAAAGGAAAATTAGACCAGAGGCTAAAATATAATACCTATAGCCTGCATCGCAGCGTTCCAGTGTTCAAGCAGGAAATAAAACAAAAAAAAAATTTTTTTGTTTTTCCTTCGTTTTGTTTTTTTTTTTTCAGGTTTTTTAGGCAGTGAGCTAAAAATAAAATGAAATCAGATAGCATTATTTTACTATATAAGAGCATAGAAATAAGATATCTGTCCTAAATTTGTGGTTAAAAATAGTAAATTCTGTCTTTAAAGCTTCAGCTGCACAATAGCATTTAATAATTTACTGATTTTGATCTGCGTTCACATCAGCGTGTGTCAGTGTTAAAGTGTTTCAGATCTAATTTTTGCACAGGTGCAATGGTGTGCGACAACTGTCAGGAACTTCCTGACAGTCTGCATGACTTATTAAGGGCATATTAGCTTTGGCTTTGATGTTGCATCTGGCCTCGTTATAACTCCAGACTTTTTCCTTGTCATTCTTTTTAATGCATCAGTTCACGCTCAACATTCAAACCCCGAAATAAGTGGGTGTCTTGAGGTCAGAGCAGAGTTTTAGGAAAAGGAAACTTTGCAAGTTTTCATTGCAAGAAAACTTTTCTCTTTTAAAGAAAGTTCTGTCTTCTATCGTTGGGGTATTTTTGGAGAACTGCAGTTTGAGGTATGGAGGGGAGAATGTGGAATAGATTAATATTGAGATCCTGGAAGCAGTAACAGATGTGTCAAAAAAAGCAACCAGAGAACAGTGAATAAAAACTGCAGCCTGACTGCAAGAAACCTTTTTTTATTTATTTATTTATTTGTTGATGAGCTGATTTATTTGCTGGAAGCAGTATAAAGGATTGCACATCATATTTGTTAATTTATGTTATTCTCACTGTGTAACTAATTTAAAATGCATACTAATATAGCAACTCTACATGTTCCAATATCAGCTGCCTCCTGACATGATTTTTTTATGCATATATGGTTTTTTTTGTGTGATCAGTCACAGGAGCTGATCGAGGAGGAGCGTGAGAAAGTGAATGCTTCCCTGTTGGCGCTGGAAGAGGAGCTGGAGAGCAGCAGAGATCAGGAGGAGCGGTTGAGAACAGAGCTTGAGTCCACCGCGCAGAAGCTAAACAACACCAGAGACGAGTTAGTGTCTCTAAATCAAATAAAATTCCTTATCAGTGAATTGCAGAAATATTTCATCTTTTTTTACTGTGTGAAGATCGGCCGATTCCAAATTTAGTTTGGAACGTTTCACAGATATATTCCAGCAGAAATCTGGCTCAGATGTCCTAATCCTGGAATATATATATATTTACAACATCTTAAAAATAAAAGGTGTTTTATAAATGCAACTTGATTTTAAATTCCCATTGCAATGATTAGAAAAAACTGATTGTATAAGATTTATTTGGCAACAAGAATTTCAGCCTCTTGAATCATGCGTTAAAAACTATATTTTTGTCAGGTCTTTTTAAATGATATTCATCAAGAAGTTTTCTTTTTTGTTGTTGTGTTTAAGCTATCTGACTGCATTTTTGATTTAGCAGGAATGGAGAACAGTCCAGCAGGCAAACGTGAGAAAAAAAACTGCTCTCATTCTTTGGTTTGAGTAGATGTAGTGCGGTTTTGATGAGAACCTGAGATTTATCCCTTGAAAATGGGGTTATAAGCACCCTCCACACTTCATAACCTGATTAAAATAAGTAAAATGATTTTGAAAATGCTGAGAAAAACAAAAACAAAGCACAGGTTTTTTAAAATATCTCGTCAAAAAAAAATGCTTCCTTGTTTTTTGGCCTGCTTTTTACTATGTATAAAGACCAGTACTCTTTTCATTGAATTCCACTTTCTTAGAGAATCTGGCCCATGGCATTATAGATCCTTTACTCTATCTAAGAGTGGATTCTATGTCACTTTCCTCATATGATAATAAAAAAGTTTTTTATTTTTATATAACCTTTATTTAACCAGGGGAAAAAAAATCCCATTTAGATTAGAAACCTCTTTTTCAAGGGAGTTCTGGCCAAGAGGCAGCAAAGATACATTAAAATAAATGACAGGTCATCAAAAATAAAAAACATATCAAGTAAAACAATTACAAATCATTGAGGCTGCTTCAAATTCTTTCGCTTTCAACTTAAAAGCATTTAAAGGTAAAAACTCAGTCAACTTCCAGTTTCTTTGTAAAATATTCCACTCAGAAGGAGCTGCGTAGCTAAAAGCTTTCTTCCCCAGTTCTGTTTGGACAAAAAGAACAGTGAGCAACAACAACAAGTTAAACACTAGACCCTAAGGAAAAAGTTTAATTTCATAGTCAAGTTAAACTGCAAATTAATAAAATGGGAAGACAGAAAAGCTTTTTTTTCTTATTGCCAGCTGATTACTCATGAAGATAACACTTATCACCTTTTATTGAACGCCATTTTCTCTTGTATGGCCTTTTTTGAAGAGTTCTAACTATTATTATAGCTAAGAGAAATGTTACATATTATTAACATGTATTCAAATTTTAACAGATGTTGATTGACTTTAAAAAAAAAAAGCAATTAAGGGTCTACAAAAAAGTTTAAGAATTGGTTTACCATGTCCAGGATTACTGATAATCTTCACAAGAATAAACAAACAAAAAAAAGGCTTCAGTCAAAATTCTAGTTGCATTGTGAAGTTTGGACTTTCTAAAGATTTGCAGTTTAAGATTGTAAAATGAATTACTACTGCAGCTTTAAAAAAAAAAGAGATGTCAGGTTATCAGTAAGTGTGTAGAGTGCTGTGCCATGTTGATCAATAGATCAAACTTTACTAACAGCAGGCTGATATGGATAAAAAACAAATCATTTTATTGATTAGAGAGGATTCTGCATTCAACTCAACTTTGTTGATTTACAAAGTAGTTGTACTCTTGACCAATCACTACACTTTTCTTTGCCTTTTTGATTTAACATTTATTAACCTTAAATACATTTATGCATAATAGATGATGAAAATATCTAATAATAAAAAAAAAATTGAATTTGTTTTTTTTGTGTGATTTAACAACACAAAAATGATTTTAACAGGAAATTCTTCCAAACTTATTCAATTAATTCAGACTCTAGTTTGCATGTGTGAATTGTTTTGCAGTATTTTATTAGAAGGTCAAAGGTTTCCCTTGACAACTCTACCTAGCAACGCTTATTTTTTCAGTCTTTTTCAAAGACAGCCTCAAGAACCTATATATTTAACATGCTGAATAAGGCTGGACGGTATAAGGAAGACCTCTGGAGTTACCTCCAAGTATCTGAGTATCCACCTGTACTAGACAGACTTAACTTTGATTGGAAACAACCATTAAATCTCTCTCACATGGATGAGTAGCAGCCATTGCTCTTCCACGGTCGCTTCCTACTTCTCTCCTTCTTTGAATTGTGCTAAAAAAATCTCTTTACACTTCAAAGCAGCAAAGTGACTAAATTACTGCATTTATAAAGGCAGTTAAAGTAATTAGGATCAGTTCATTAGGTACATTCAACTACCATCACCTGACTTCCATTTGTCTTTTAATAAAGGAAGCAGCAAGGCTGTGTTTAGTTTTTCAAACAGGATGTTTCCCTTACAACCTTTTCTGTATTTCAAGTGAAATATTTTCAATTATGTACATTTCAAAAAAGCCCTCTGTGTATCTTATTGTGACTCTTTCTTGCTTCAAATCATAGTGGTTCAATGTTTAGGCTGATTAATATAATTACAATGTGGTTTAATAAATGCTACTTGTAGTTTTAAGAGATGCAGGGTTATATAAAACCATGTCACCTTCTGTCCACAGGCTAAAAAGGTCTCTTTTGGAGAAGGAGAAGGTTGAGTGCTCCCTGAAGGAACTTCAGAATTCTTTGGTTTCCACGAAGAAGGAAAAACCTTCATCTGAAGATACCAATTCTTTAAAAGAGGTAATTGAGACAGCAGCCATGAAGCAAAAGGATTTCTCTCATTATGCGTTTGAACTTGTCTCTGTATGTTATTTTAAACATAGCTATTTCCTTTTTCAAATCTGCCATCAGCTCAACAGAGCTTTTCCTCTTTTTCTTTTTTTTTATGCACAAAAATTCATGTGGAACACATTTTCTAGCACCTCTGCTCCTTCCACTTTACCAACATTATTTGTCTCTGATTACTTATCCCAAGGAGCTACAGCGTTGTCATGACGATCTGAAGCGAACCCGTGCAGATCTGGACAGACAAAAGGGTGAGATAGAGGAGAAAACCAAGGCACTTGAAGCCCTGAAGAAGGCGAGCGGCGAGAAGGAGGCAGAGTTTCTGTCGGAGATTAGCAAACTGAAGGAGCAATTTCAGAGAGACAAGGCTGAGCTGGAAAAGGCCCTTGAGAGGGCGAAGGAGGTGAAGCATCATCTTATTTCATTGGAAAAGAAACAAGACTGATGATAGCACTTTAAGGATGTAAAAAAGACTTTTTTGTTGTTGTGAAAAGCAGAAAAGAAAGAAGTGCCAAAAACGTACAAAAAGCTGCAGCTTAGCTTCTCTTTCTCACTTTTTTTTTTATTGCTCTCTGCAGGCGTCTGTTACGTCTGCAGGAAAGACTGTGGTGGACGGCGGCGCCAACGAGGAGCTGCAGCAGGAAAACACTCGCCTCAAAGAGAAGCTGGCCCGCATGGTACTACACTGCCAAGAAACAAAAAGAGATTAAAGGAAAATTCTTTAAACACAAATACTTAGGGAACAAAAAGGTCCTCCTACACAGGCTCTATCTTCGGCGTACAAACACGAGCAAGAACCAGAGAAAACTCTAATCTGTGTGTCATTGTCTGATCATAGCAAGAAAAATATTGCATTTGCTCAACATTTGCCTTAATTCTGACATTTCTGCTGGGAAACGTCTGCAGACGTCTCAGTGTAAGATAACATACATTTGGTTGTATGGAGCTTTGCAAAAGTGCTTAATCCACTTGAACCTTTTAATGAATCATCGCATTGCAAGCAAAATTTTTCTTTTGGGGTTTTATTTGATTTAAAATGGTTATGAAGGAGAAGAATTAAAGTTTTTCACTATTTAGAAAGAAGTTGGCTAAATGCATCTGGCCTTAATAAATTTACAAAACAAACATTCTTTTTAAACTTCTCAAGCTGCATCGCATCGGGATGGAGAGTGTAGAAAGTTTAAAGTTAGCAGAGTTTTTAAACTGGATTTAGATCTGGATTCTGATGCCACCAGTTTAAAACCTGAATACCATTTTATTAAATGCGGCTGAATCATTTTGTTCTTTTCCTGCCAAAATAGTAAGACCCTAATGACCCTGCAGGGATTAAAGTAGCATAGAAATGCAGGGATGGTTCTGCATTACTGTGTTAATCTACCACATAAAAAGCCATAAAAACATTGAGTTGGTTGTTTCTATTTGATAAAACAAACAGGTTTAAATTAAATGCCTAACTTTGTATGCCATTGTTACTTGAAGCTGTTAGTAACTTTTTTTTTTTACTTTAAACCTCTGCATCTATATATAAAAACTGCAGTAAATAATGTTTGGTTGGTTTGGTTTTATTTCCTAAAGTGCAATTAAATCCAATTTCTTTTTATTTTCTTTTTTTTTTCAGCAAACAAGGCTTCAGTCGAGCATGCCGCGTAGCTCAGACGCTGAAGAGGAGCTGGAAGCTCTGGAAGATGAGAACCGCTCCCTCAAGTCTCAGCTGGAGGAGGCCAAAAGGGGCGCGAGCCGCCTGAGCAAAGAGCGGGACGACCTCACCCGCCGGCTGGAGGAACGAGACTTAGAGAGGGATGCGCTGAAACGGGGGAAAAGCGACCTGGAAGAGCAGAAGCGGCTGTTGGACCGAGCTCTGGAGAAGATCAACAAGGAGGTTGGTGTATGGGGAGGGGTTAAACCAAGGACGAAATGCCTTTTGAAGCTATCAGCACCTTCATTTCCGCTCCTCCTGCTCTCAGATGGAGCTGATGATGGGAGACTCTCGTCAGTCGGTGGCCAGCCTGCAGACACAGCTGGATGAATTCAGGGAGCGATCCAGGAAAGACCTGCTGGAGGCGCAGCGTAACAGCAAGGACAGGCTGGCTGAGCTCCAGAGGGCTCAGACCAACCTTAAGACCCAGCAAGAAGAGGTCAGGAACAGCATTGGACCTCTAAAACCTGGCAAACATATTGTCAGATCATAATTAAAATCCTGGGGATGTTTTTTCCATGGTTTGTTTTAAACCTTTATTTAAATGTATACACAATATGGTAATTAACATTTCTATAAAAGCAGAAATTAAATTTAATGCAGTTGATGCAAGAAGATATTTTCCCAAAATACTTTAGTTGTTGGAGGATATTATTACCTCTGCAAGGCATCATTCTTTTGTCTGCTTAACTCACCACATATCTCAGCACTGGCCAGACCAGCTCATATTTAGCCAATCGGAAACTAATTTTTTGTGCAGGAATACAAATTTACCATAAGTCCGTTATACTTTTAGGCTTCGCCACCAAAGTATCAGTCATATTTTAAGAGTGTCTTATGTGTCTCAGTGTTTTATTTGCAGACTCTGCAGGGGTCTGTGATGGTTTCCCTTGTTTTCTGCACATTGTGTTTCTACACAGGTTGTAAAAATAAATTAATTAAAAAAACAAAAGCAGAAAAAAGGTTGGGTTAAACAGGGGTTAAAGGATCCGGTTCTTTGGACCCATTGGTCATGGGTACAATCTCCACTTAAGGCAGCCTTCCAGTGATTTTATTATGTCCTTAGAAGAACAAATGCCGATTTCTGAAATAATAGCAGATGAGATTCCTGTAAGATTTTACTAATAAGATCTTGTTTTGCTTTTACAGATTTCTCGTCTTAAGAAGGAGCTGCTAACATGCAACGAGGAGAGAGACAGCGCTCAGCTGGAGAGAGATCTCCTGAACAACCGACTGAAACACTTGGAGAAGGAGCTGGAATCTGAGAAGAACTCCCACTCAGACCGAAGCCGGGAGATCCGGGGCCTGGAGGTGAGACTTCTGTGGTCAAAGGTCATGACAGGTGGAGTCTAAACTTAGATGAGAGTAGATCAGGGGTATGTCGATCTGAGGATAAACAGGTGTTCACAACTAATAATAGTGGAGAGATGTGAGTGAGACAAAGTATAGACTGGCCCTAATGTTTGAACTTGTTCAAAGGATAAAATCAAGACTCTGGAGATCGAGTTGGATGAAGAGAAGAGCAGCGTGGAGCTACTGAATGATCGCATAACCAGAAGCAGAGATCAGGTGCAGCTTGATATTTGAATACACATGCAAATAAGCAGTAGACAGGAAGGCCTGAGTATTCTATCAACACGTCATTGATTGTTTGACATTTCCTTCTGCTCAGGTGGATCAGCTTCGCTCTGAGCTTATGCAGGAGCGTTCAGAGAGACATGACCTGGAAATGGACAAGAGTGCCCTGGAAAGACAGGTATGCTCAGATCGCCCCAGAGATGAGTACCACTTTTTTTACCCCGTTTTTTTTTTATTACTAATATTATTATGTTGCTGTTCTCCTCACAGGCAAAGGAGCTAAAGTCCCGCCTGGCAGACATGGAGGGACAGACCCGACCCACAGCTGGAATCACCCTGCTGGAAAGCAAAATCCAGGAGCTGGAGGAGAGACTCCGCAGTGAAGAAAGGTACAACCTAGACGACTCATAACAGGTCAAAAACAATACTACTCATCTGCATATCATCCAACTCTAAGTAACATTATAGTACCTCTTCAATAGATATACCTGTTTTATGTATTAATGAAGAAAAACTGTAAATAATTTATAAGGGAATATTAATGTCCAATAAATTCCCTATTTCTGTTGTTTGTTTACCTTTTGTCAAATCAGTAAATGGTGCAATTAAATCATCATCTTTGGTTTAGATAATTTATTTGATTGACTTTAACTCACAAAAATGTCTAACTGTACAAAACAAACATACATCATGACAATACCTGATGGTCCTGAATGTCATCGTCATTGTATTTTTTGTTTTTTTAAAGGGTTAAGAAAATATTTTAAAAGGACTGTAATGTCATTGTCGTGCCAGTAGATGGCAGTGAGGTTTACTGTAACGACATCAAAGGAAAATCCCTCAAAGCATTTAATGATTTCCCTCTTCATTCAGAACATGAGCTGGTTAGATGTTTAAAGATGGCAGATTAAAGAAGAACTCAGACAAATGTGGGGAAAAAAATAATATATTTAAATAATTGCTATTGTAGTTTCTAAGGCAGACGGCGACTGCTCTATTTTACGAAGCCTTCACCTATGCTCCAGAAAGTAAGATTTCTTTATCATGAGACAAGTTACATACAAGATGCAAAAAAATAAGTAGTTCATTGAATTTTCACATAAGGATAATTTTCTGCCCTCTTTATGGAATCCTTCTTTAAAAACGGATGTTTATGTTTACTTTCTTTGTGTGATATCAACATTTGTTCTGTGAGCTGAAACATTTTGGCGTAGTAATTATTTTTACTTGCTCAGTAACATAATATCTAAAAATGTGCGCTACCAGAGTAGACTTTGCTTCAAACTGAATTTCAAACACACCTTTCAGCTTAAATCATTTAGACACAAAACGGGTCGGCCAATCACGTGGCAGTATCATGATTTAAGGCAGGGCTTATAGCTATGACTAAAGCAAGAGCTGCTGAGCCCACAGTTGAATCAAAATAGTCATGTTTCGTCTGTCTTTCATCTTTGAAAGAGGAACGGCAAGAGTGTAAAAACATATTTGTTGTGGTTCTCATGCTGCTATTTAATTTGTTACCATGATTGGCTAAAACCAAACTTTAACTTAAACTATTAAGCTTGAAAGGCTCTATTTAACATCCCTCATTTCCCCAAACAGATTTGATGAAAGCAGTTATACACACAATAATCTGGTTTGATATTTAGACTGGGAAACAATTAATGGTAATCTTCAAAGAAATGTGCTAAAAAAAAAATTGCATTACTGGTTTTTAAATAATCTTTTTTTTTTTAAGAAATCCTTTAAATTGGAAACATTACAACAAAACTTTATGTAGTTTTATGCACCCCAGATTATCACCAAAATAAGGAACATTCAGTGCTACCAAAAGTCCTTTAGAAAACCACATTGTTGGGTCCAAACTCCATTTGGGACTTGAGTCATTTGCTGATCTCCTGTTTATAGGGAGAAGACGAGTATCCAGGGGTCCCAGAGACGAATGGAGAGAAAACTGAAGGAACTGAATGCCACATTAGACCAGGAGAGAAGCCAACATATTGAGCAGAGGGATCAGGTAAATGTGCATTTCTACTTAAAATACAAATTCAATCCAATTTTTCATGAGTAAATATTAGATATATAATATAATTGATATTAAAATCTTTATATAACTATTTCAATTTGATATTTCAGACAATTTACATTAATCAATGTAATTTCTCTGGCTGTATATGCCGATAGGTTTATTTCTGGAGTATTTTTTTTTTTTTTTTTTTTTCGGTTGATTTTGTTTGTTTTGAACTTTGTTTTTTGTTTTGTTTGTTTTTGCTTGTTTTCTTTTTGTGTATTTGGTTGATTCATCTATTGTTGTTCGTCAAAATTGTCTACAATAATTTTTTATTGATTAATTTATATTAAGCTGTTTTATCTTGCCTTCTCATGAATGCTGACATTTAAAATCCCGTAAATAAATGAAGCACATTTTTTTCCTTTCGTATTGGTTATGTTACACCTTAAGCCATTTCCTTTGCTGAAATCTCTTTTCTTCTTCCTTTTTTTTATAATAACCTCATCATCTCGGACTGAAAAGTCCAACGTTCTATACACATTAATTATTGAGTCAAAGTGGTTGGAGGTTTATTTTTTTTTATTTCTAAATTAATTAGAAGGTGATACCTATAAGCCTCTCCAATTATTCAATATGCAAAGGCTTGAGTAGTTTATCAGTTCACATAATTGTATTGTATCACAAAGATAAGACTTTTGTATCACCCATACGGCTCCATTAGTGGAAGACCCCTGCACCGTTGGTCCAGTAAAGAGCGCTATGACAGATCCTTCCTCCCAGCAGATGTTAGATTTATCGCTGCTCCCAACAAGCTCGGCTTTTAAACCAGTTGCACACTTAGTTAATTTAATAATCTTACTGTTGCATTTTTATAATCTAAGGTATTCTTCTAATGTTAACCTTTTTCATCCTTACTGCTAATACACCTGAAGACACCTACCTGTACTCTGGGAAAATGAAGGATTGTTCTGTTAATAAAAAAAACAACTGGAATAAAACTTAGTTAGGCTCTTCTAACTTGATTCCTGGAAAGCAAATGAATTATATCTCAAAAAGATGTCTTTCTGTTGTTATTCTGGTCAGGTCCTAAACGAGAAGAGTTGGTATTCCTGAAAAAAAAAAAGCTTGTTATTAGTGGAATTTTAAAGAAATAATTCACTTAATAATGACTAATGTATTCTCCTCCTAACCCAAATCCAACCTTCCTCAGTTACCTGAATGACCCTTGACCCTTCATGTTCTTCCGTATTTCTGCTGCTAGAAAGCCACAGCTTCACCCTTATCAGTCCCAACCCACTGACCCTTTAGCCCCCTGCCTAGTGTTTATGTCTTCTTCAATCATCCTTTAACCTCCTCTGTTCCCCTTTAACCCCCTTCCTCTCCCTCTCTCCCCTCCCAGCTGACCCTCCGTGTTAAGGCCCTGAAGCGACAGCTGGATGAGAGCGAGGTGGAGGTGGAGCGCTTGGAGGGAGTCCGTCGGAAGGTCCTCAGAGACCTGGAGGAGCAGCAGGAACTCCAGGAAGCTCTGCAGGCCAAATGCACAGCACTGGAGAATGACCTGAAGTATGGCTTGGTTGTATTGCAAAGTTTTTAAGCACTTTCAACTGCTGAGGGAGTCTACACTAGATGGCACCTCTGTAACAAGCTGAATCTCTGAGAGGAAGGAATTTGTGTTGATTGTGTTATTTATTTTTTTTTTTTTGCAGGCGTAAGGCGCAGCAGATTAATCGGACAATCCTGAGCTCAACTACATTGAGCTCCGACGAGGAGGACGGCTTCTATGACAGCGGGAAGACCCCTCCATCCTGAGCCAGAAAAAATCCTCAAAAAAAAAAAAAAAACACTTGCTAGAAAAGAAAAAGAAGCAGGAGGGAAAACAAAGGTCTCCTGTTAACGACGGCTCACCTGTGAAGATCTTACATGATCAACTCTTCCAAACCTGAACACAGCTGTGATTCCTTTCTGAAATGTCATTCCTGGTTTGTAAAGATTCCCAGCATGATTTTAAAAAGGGCGTCTCTGCTATGTGTTTGTTGTTATTGTTCCATTGGCAGCAAATTACTGTAGCATGATTATTCATTTGGGGTCAGACTTTAATTCTCAACCAAAAACAGACCTCTATCTTTTATGTATGAGTGTAACCTTCTGCATAATAACTTATTTTCTTCTGTTGCAGCAGCACTCCTTTGTGTTAAAAGTGAACCTTTATCTGTTTTTTTTTTTGACTGTGACAGTTTGGGGCCTTTAATCTGAGCCTATATTTTTACCGAGGTGTTGCCTCTAAAGACAATCATATAGATGTGCATTAGCTTATTAACATCTCCATGTATCAATTTAAATCACATTGGACCACATAAATAGTTAGAAATTTCAATACAGTCGCCACTACATGCGTTTGTTTATTGTGTAAGCCTTTTTTTCATACTTGCATAATAATAAAACACACCTTTGATGTAGGAAAAATAAACTGGGTGCAGAACTTTATATGTGAATAAACTTTCAAAAATGATCCTCATGTTTATACATTTTTACTTTTGAAGCCATTAAAATGTTCCTGAGATCATTCTGACTTGATAATCTTCTTCCACTTTTACAGAAGCTTTCCATCATCAACTGGTTTTGATCTTTGGTATCACAGTCCTATTGAAACATCCAGTTCCTCAGCATGATGCTGCCACTGCTGTGCTTGCCAATGACACCGATTTTAAAGTAGGCAGTGGGGTTTTAATGTAATAGCTGCCGGAACTTGTAGTACAAGTAATGTAGAGCTTAAGATGGTTCTGAACACCCTAAAAGGTCTGGTGCAAGTCCTGACAACAAAAAGCTTACTTTTGAAAAATGCTTTTTTTGTGCAAAACCTGCTATTTCAAAGCACAAACCAGCCTTTATAAGTTTTAATAAAGCTTTGTATTTCATTTAGGTACTACAAAGTCTCAGCTGCAGAAATGAAGAAGACAAGTTTAATGCAAATTTTCAAATGTTGAACATTTTGGTCAATAATGTAAAGCTTAGAAACACGTTTTGTTTTTTTGTTTTTTTGGATCTGTTAATAACCCGCAATGCCCCTTTGAAGAATGATTGATTGAAACTCATATGCACTTTGATGTTTGCATCTCCAGAACGCATGAAAGCCATTTTAATGGATATATAAGGCTAGCATTGAGCTTCTAGAGCCGCCTTCTTTAATCCCCGTCTTCTATGTTGAGCCAGTCCTGCCAGTAGGAGTGGCTTCTGCATATCCTACTAGTGGTATGTATGTATTTGTTCAGACCTGTATGTATAATTTTCCCCCTCGGTCAGAGAAAAATCCAAGATGAATTAAAGATACTGCAACTAAACTTAGTTTTTTATATAAATATATATTAGATTGATTTATATGGTATAATCTTATATAGGAGAGAAAAAGGTTCCAATGCTTAATGATTCAAAATGATGATATTTCTGCTCATAATTGTGCATCAGTTTGGATTTGAAAAACTTTGAGACTCACAGATTTGTTTATTTCTTTCTGTCTCTTGGTTTTAGTTGCTGTAAAGTTTGAAGTTTTTCCGCTGGCCTGTGCCAGCATCGTTCTCAGTATATTCCTATGTCACTTTTTTTTTTACACCTTGCCATTAAACATGTTTGTAATTTTCTAATGATGGTGTTATTGTAATTTAGGATTACATTGAAAAGATGCTATTAAATTAAAAATCTGTTTTTCATGAGTTAGTGAAATTTTCAATTTTCTTAAAACAAACTTAAACAAAAGTTGTAATGTTCAATAAAAAGGATTTCATTAAAATCTCTTTGGGATTTGTTAGTGTCAATCAATCGTTATTGTCAACTGCAATTTGCATTTTAATCAAGATTATAGTTTCAGTCCAAACCGTTTGGAAATGATTGACTGAGGCCATGCGTGCCAAAAAAAAACGACGTTAGGCCGCATCCTTTACTCTGCCAAGAACCAACCCCCTTCCCTTTCCCTTAGGGTTCTGCCTTTATCTCAAAAGCATGTTTGTACATTTATACATTGAACATGCAAATCTAAACAAAAGCAAAATGATGCCCTGTTTTTACAGTCTACATTTTAAGTATTTAGATGCTTGCAGATGTTAAGGCCTCTTTCATCACCACAGCTGTTGGTTTTGAGCCTCACTGATGCTTCCTTCTTTTTTCAAAAACCTAGTAGTAGCGTTACGAATGCTTTTAGGTAAAACTAACTTGTTTCCAATTCTTAACATTTCGTCAGTTCATTGGGATTATTATAGATCTGCTGAGATCCTGATATAGTATCAGAATTTTCTCCTCCGTTTGGGATTGTTTTTCTTCCAATCACCCAGTTTACACTAAGAGAAATAGAATAGAAATATCCTTTGTTTCTCAGTGGGTTATTTGGGTGCAGCAGCAAAAAAGTGGGAGCATGCAGAGTCACACAACTAGAAAAAGAAAAACAAAGAACATAACCTGTACTGTAAGGACAAGCTTAAGCTGTGTGACAATAAACACCTGATTTGAGGATACTTTGGCATTAGGATGTGCCTGCAGTCAAATGAATAACTGCTTCCTGGCTGGTTTAAGTTGTTGTTGTTTTTTTATGGTTTCAATCCCCTCACAGGTTAATGAGCAGCAACATTTACTGCTCTAAAGCCATTGCTGATAACTTTCCATCCTGGAATTGCTTGTGTAATCCATCACACCCGACTGCCAACCCCTCTGCTTCCATAGACACAGTCAATGTAATATGGTTTTTCTCTCAAAAAATATGAAAAGACTCCAGAAATATTCAAACAGAAGTTAGGAGAGCATGTCTGCATGTTTTGAAACTGAGCTTTTCAGCAGTTCTTGACAGACTGAGGGGAGGCTTTTTAACCTGCTCGGATAAAATAAGAAATATACCCAACCTGAGGCAGGTTCTCACCTTCACAGTGATACAGAGAATAAAAGATCAAGGCACAAACCTGCCTACTGAAAAGGTTTCACAGCTGTCTCTTCTCATGCTGTTACACAGGTCAAATCCTACAGATCATGGGAATTAGATGAAAGACATTCAATATCTGAAATATATATTAATTTACACCAGAACTCCGCTTATTATATAGTTTGCAGTACCTTATTAAAGTATTTTTTATCCTTTGAACATGTTTAACAATGTGTTTAATTGCAACTTTATATGGTAGATGGGGGCTTCGGTAAGACCAGTGATGGAAAAAAAAATGCAACAGAGCGATCCCTTAAAAATACATGTCATGACATCACTCCCTATTCATTTCAAGTGTAATAATTATATTCTCTTTTTTATACATCTATTGTAAAAAGAAATGTAACTACTTAATTTATCTTTCTAAATGCATTTAATTGTTTGAATTTCATTATTTAATTATGCATTTTAAAATTAGATGATATATTTGATATTAAACTTGTGTATTAGATAAATAAATAAATGTTAAACTAATGGATCACCTCACAATGACTCAAGTTTGTCTGTGTCCAACCCCCACTAAGTCTTAAAGAGCTGCAAAGATCCACAGTTAAGGTGAGAATCTGTGGACAGAATAATTATCATAAATCTGTATTTCAAAGAGTGGATAGACGTTTTTGAAAGAAGACTGTTAGAAGTCAGTTTTGCAAGGAGCCACATAGAGGACACATCAAACATGTTGAAAGAGTAGTTCTGGACAGAATTTTATCCAACTTAACATAAAAAGCCCTATGTTTCAACCGCTAACAATATGAAACATGCTTGTGGCACTATCATGCTGTGGGGATGTTTTCTTTAGCAAAGTTATAGAAGCCGGTCATATTAAATGGAAAGATGTAAATCTAGGACACGTCTGATGGTAAGACTTCGAAAGACATGCGACTGGCTGCAGCCAAAGTTTAAAATCAAAGCTTATTGCTGTGGTAGAATGGCCTAGTCAAAGTTCCACCTGATATTTAACTGAGCATCCGTGGAAAAAGAAGGAAAACATATGTTCAAGGATGTTTTTTGTGCTATACAACTAATTTTAAGTGGTAAACAATATCCATACATGGAGAGCATATAGAAACATGTACTTTGCAGGTATCGTCACAGTTACCAAATTTCTGCTATGTATTAATTCAGAGCCTATATAAAATAATAACAAATGTTTTTGATTTTTCTTTAGCACAAAACCATTAAACAGTGATATAACTTTCCTTCTAACTATAAAAGAATGAATTACTTTTTTTTTGGATGATTGCAAAAAAATCCCCTGAACATATGTGACCAACGATGGAAAAAAAAAACAAGAAAGTGTGTCTGTCAAACACAACGGAATCCTAAGGAAGTGGATAGACTTTTTTGAGCATCAACTTAAAATAAACAATGCAAATGGTGTTTTAATCCAATGAAAAACATATTTAATACCATAAATGACTAAATTGAAAGCCTTTGTTGTCCGTGGTTATAATTAATGCTACACTGTGATTGAGCTTCTTAAAACAGGCCAGCTACGGTATTCCTCTGTAATCCTCAGATGGTTTACAGTAATTACAGGAGACATCAAGCTGTAAGAACAACTTTGCCTCTTCCAGTTTCCTCCTGGCCGCCCTATGGGATTCCTTCTCCCAGAGTCTCTCTTATCTTTTTCATTTACAACATTACAGATATATACTTAGCAGAAAAGCCTTAGTTTAAAGGGGAAAAACAATATATTTTAAGGATTTATTTTTATATTTTGCTGTTTTACACGGAAGTAACACTTGCCTATATCTTCTATTTGTAGTAAAATGAATTATATATAATTATGGAATAAGCCGATTTGTGATTAATTATTGGGATCGAAACATTGTTACCCAGCAGAAAAATAAATGTAAAAAAAAAAAAACAGCTAAACAGTCACTTTGCATGTTTACTCTGGGTTGGGCTGTAAAAACAGGCTTTAGGAATGCGTCCCTTTTGTCAGACATCTATTAAGTTCTGGAGTCTTTTCACACAAACTGGTGGTGCTTTATTTATTCATTATAGTGTTGCAGCGATGGAGAAAGAGTGCTGTCTTTTATGTGGACGTCACCTTACAAATATGTCTTTGAATAATAAAAATGAGAGGCTATAATAAAGGAGTAAAGCACAACGTCAGGATGTCATCCACAATGGAAGATTAAAGAGCAAGACCACAGAAGACTAAATATTGTTTGCTGTTTTTGTGTGTTCGAGCACACCTGTTAAATTGAAAAGCTGAACTTGACTTGATTGTTATCTAAGTGTTTATTTAGGGATTATAAAATAAGATCCTTTTTAAATCCTGAAACTCTGAAAATCTCCTACCTCATGGCCATGTAGGTAAGTGAGTTTATCCGAAGGCCTAACGTGAGGTGACAGTTCAGTCACCTGACGTGCTGCAGGACTCTTACCAAACAGCCTTCTATCCTATTTGCAGATCTAGCACAGATTTAGCAGCAGAGGAAGCAGAAGATATGCAGGATCCTGTACAGTGGGACCGTTTAATTAGGAAACTGGTGGGAAAAAGGACCCGATGAGTTTTTGGACACCAGACTGATGAGGAGAGACGTGGGATGGGATCCCTTTTGATGAAGATAAAGCAGGTGTCTGAGTGCAAAATGCTTTGGTTCAGCAATACCAAAGCAAAAAGTCTGCCAGATGGAGGCACTATCAACACAGATGAGGTCAGATATGTTATAATATCAGAAGTGATCAGTAAGATTTTTTTATATTGCATCTGCTCCCTGCATCACATTAGTAATTAACTTTTAATTTGAAATTCTAATTAACAAAAATAAATCTAAAAACACTGTTCCAGAAGAGATACATTTGAAATGAAATAATGATAACCTTTTTTAAACATTACTAGTGAAGTTATGCCTCTTACAAG